AATGACATTGACATTCAGAAAAACATAATTCAACTTATCAAAGTCTATAATTCAACTTGGCTGAATAAGAATCAAACCACAGCCACGGTTATATATAGTCTATAATTAATAATCAGCAAGACTCATTCAGGATCTCATTTATACATAGTCCATAATCAGTAATCAGCAAGATTCATTCAGGATCTCATTTATACATAGTCTATAATATTAATCAGTAATCAGCAAGAATGCAAGATTCATTCAGGATCTCATTTATACATAGTCCATAATCAGTAATCAGCAAGATTCATTCAGGATCTCATTTATACATAGTCTATAATCAGTAATCAGCCAGACTCATTCAGGATCTCATTTACAGCAAGACTAATCACAGTAAACGGCAAAATTCATCCGATAAGTTAGTCATATACCAGGAACGACAAAATGAAAATGCAAGAAAAGGCCAGAATACCAGAAACCAAAATTACAAAGTTAGTCATATCGGACCGATACAAAATTACAAACCAAAATGAAAATGCAAGAAAAGGCCAGAATACCAGAAAATATTAGCTGAGACTTGAGAGGAACCGGGAACGACAGCAGCGGCAAGGAGATGAGGTCACGAGCAGCAGCAAGTCAGCAACAATCGATGCGTATGCCAAAAAGCTTGCAAAGACAGACGAATTAGGAAATGGGATCAGAAATTCAGGGGTTTAGGGGTTTAGGGCATAAAGAGGAACAGGGGAGGCAGTATTGGAACTCATTCTTACCGTTTCAAGTTTAGGAGAGTGGTGAAGGCCAAGGAGGGCGAGCTCAGCTTGAGGGAGACTTGCGAGCTCAGACCCTCTGACTTGCGAGCTCAGATGGTTGAGGGAGACCGGAGATTAGACTTGCGATGAGGTTGAGAGACCGGAGATTCGACTTGCGATGACTCTGCGATTTTGGAGCTCTGCCGAACAAGGAGGTGTGTTGGAGTCTCGGAGACCGTCGTGCCGTCAATGACTCTAGCGAGCAGGGATTTTGGAGTAGGCGATTTGGTTTTAAGGAGGGAGGCCGGAGGCGAGCTGCTGGCTGCTGCGACTGCGATACTCGGAGCTGATGAGAGGAAGAAAGAAACAGATTCAGGGGAAGGAAAAATGGAGAACTCGAAGAAAGGCGGTCCGGTTTTTTTTTTTTAAAGTTAAACGACGTCGTTTAACGTATATCAGCAAAAAAAAAAGAGGGAACTGGGTAACCCGCCCAACCGGGTTTACCCGGTTCTGTATCGGTTATGACCGGTTCAACCGGTTCTTTACCGGTTCGAATCTCCCCCGGTTCAGCTGGTGAACCAGACCGGACTGCAGACCGGTTCACCGGTTTTCCGGTCGAACCGGCCGGTCCGGTCCGGTTTTTTTTACCTTGCCTATTTTTAATACATAATTATAAAACCATTTTTAAAATGATAACCACAGTAGAAAAAGAATTGAGTTAGAGTGTTAAAATACTACCATGGTTATAAAGAGTTTGGCTTATTCCGAAAACATCCCAAGAAGCTCAGGATACATAAAACACTTATGGGTTTAACAACATGTAGAACAAGGATTCAGTACAGTGACCGCCCACAAGCCCAACATAACATTCATTCTACAAAGACTTAGGGCACAAGAAACACAGGGTGCTCAACCCAGTCCACAAGTCATACATATAAGAGCATCACATACAGGCTACAGCAGGGTCTTATGACCTTAAGCAATTTTAATAGTATTCCATCAAATACAGTTATCGAAACAAAAGAAAGTATATTTCAACATAGTCGTGGGCTCTAAGATGGCAATATACATAACATTACATGCCTAAACCAAAAGAGGACTACTAGGCTATTCTCACCTATGCTTTTGGTTGCTTCCCTTCGCGCCGAGCCAAACTAGACAGCTCTCCTGAAAAGCATTGATGAATAGTGGGATGAGACGTAAAATCCCAGTAACTAAGTATTAATTTATGACATATACAAGTAGGATGGCAAGTTAATGAAGTAGTGCTTAAATATAGTTTAAGTAATAAATGATACTTTAATAGATACAATCACATAAAAATAGTATATCTCACCATCCATAACACAATTCATATAAAAGTACATATATGCAACAACACAATGAAATATGCCCTCCCATAATCTTGCTCTTCTTTATGACTCATTGACAAGGACCCGAGCTTTCTGTGCTGAGTAACCCAGCCAAAGGTCACCCCACTCACATCAAGCAATAGGCCCCCTCTTGTACCTACACTGCCCAAGAATGAACTATGGTGCAAGAGGTGTCTACTCAAGAGTTCGTTATCAATTCCAGGCCAAGGAAAAGGAAGAACTACAGGGGTCTAACAAAAAGACCAAACACTAGGATCAATAGTGTAGGCATGCCGCGCGGACTTCAAAAACAATTATCCCCCACATAACAAAATCCCAACCTCCACATATGAACCCCATGCATAGTCACAATATATATTAAAAATATCATAGTTCTTCAAAATAAGATGATATAATTTCAAACAAAATACAACATATTTTCATTTTATTAAATAGCATAATATTAGTATATTAAATTCAACACCACAAAAAAACATAATTTCAAATAAAAACAAAAATCAGGCATAATTAAATCAACATATTTCTTACTTCACCAAAATTTATCATATAAGCAAATACATATTTTATTCACAAGCATACTTTAACAAATTAATTTAAGAAAATAAAAACATAATAAACGACTTACAATCCAAAGCATGTATATAAAATAAATTAACCCTGATTACCTCTATTCCAAGCTTAACCTCACAGCTTGAGAAATAAGTGCACAAATTACAAACTCCGAAGTGCGGAATAATCTACAAATAATATAGATACAATTTAATATACATACAAATAATTAATTTAAATTATACAGGATTTATTATTATTAATACACACACATTTACTACCCAAAATTCTTACTTCAAAAAAAACAATTTTCCTCTACCCAATAACTCATTTAAATATTTATAAAAATATTGTTTTCATCTACTATTGTAAAAATCTCAATTTATAACTTAAGTTTCCAGCTTCAAAATTTTTCTAATAATATATCCTTAACCTATTTTACATTTTAAAATATTAAAATATCAATAATATCTCAAACAATTCAAATAAATTATTTAACTTAATTTTAATCGGTATAAATATGACATATATCATAAATGACAGATTTTTCAACAAAATAAATTTAATTTTAAATACCATAGGTAATAAATAGACAAATCTGAACCGATTAAAATTAATTACTTATTTATTTCTAAATTTTTATGGTCATTTATTGTCAAAACTCAGTACTTACTGCATACCCAAAACACAAAATTTTCTCTAAATATTGTAATGATACTATTTATATAAAGTTCTAAATATATAGGAAATATTCATAAAGAAAAATTTCATAGAAAGAAGTGTTTTATGTACTTATATGATTCCCAAAGTTTGTATTACTCTTCAAACTGCTAACACTTCTCTTCTTTTCTCTCTCGTTCTCTCTTCCTCTGATTCTCATCCTCTCCCTCTTTTTCTTTTATGCTAATACCTCCCTCTTCTATTTATCCTTCAACCCCAACCGTTCTCCCTCATTTTTTTCTTCATTCATTGATACTTCTTCCATATTTTTTTCCTTCGGTTAAAAGCTTTTCCCCAAAATTCCTCTTCCTCTTAAATGCGTTCAGCTGAACGTGTTGTCCCTCTCCCCTTTTTTTTAATATAAAAATTTTATTTTATAATAATAAAATATTATTATATATTATATTTTTTATTTGCTTTTTTGAAATAATAATAATTTGTTTTAATAATATTTAGGATGTTACATTGTTAACTTGTCATTTATTTCAAAGAAGACAGATTTTTTCAAATTGTAAGGAAGAATCATGAAGACTTCTTTATATTTGTTTTTATTATTTTTTGAAAGTCCGGACAAAATAGAATGTTCATATATTCATTCATACCAATAATTTTAAACTCAAAATAGGAAATTTTTGAAGCAACTGGAGAGTGGAGCCGTTGAAGCAATAATTTTAAACTCAAAATAGTCTAGGTCTAATCTTATCAAGCTGACTATATGTTACCTCAACAATGTGTGTGTGTGTCTATATATATCTGTGTGTGCATTTTGGGCTTAACTCGTGGTTGATATTGATAATTAAAAAGGATTACATATTTACGATAAATTGAATGGCTCAAATTGCAAAAGGAAGCCATGAAAAGGAAAAAATGGGTCTTAAAACATTAATTATTTTGAAGTTAGTTTTGATAGAGAAGAATGATCTTGTAATTAATGTGATCTCATTATTATATGAGATCTAAGAAAATAAATCATATCAAAATAATATCAAACTCAATTAATAGTTTGGTTTTAATGAAAAGGGTTTTGGATGATTAAGTATGAGGACTTAAGTTTGAAAGAAAATTTACTAATGAGTCTTTTTATTTAAAATTTTAAAATAAATCATATTAGTAATAATTTCATTTTTTTTATTGATAATTATGAGTGCATTGAGAAATTTCAAACAAAATGCTCCTAAAGGAAGGAACATGACCAGAAATTATTAATGAGAAAGGAAGCTTGTATGTTTTGAATTAAGAGAGGAAAATAATTTACCAAATTATTGAAGATGACATTTTTTGAAAAATTAAAACTTATTATTCAATTTGAAAAACAATAGAGTTGGCCAGTAAAAATTGAAAAATAAAATAAGTAATCATGGGTTTTTATTTGGAAAAATCATAAAAAAATTATGAAATTAGAAAAATTATAAATTGGGACTCATAATAATATTAGTATGGGTTTTGACAATAATATTTAAGAACCTGTGTATAATTTTTTTAATTCCATGGTTTTTTTTAGCGATATTCCCTTCTTATTTCCCGATTTTGTGCGAAAACAAAAAAATCGAAAAGTTTCTCAATTTTTTGCCGCCTTCTTCCCCCCGCTTCCTTCGTGTCCGCCCGAAGCCCCGGGGCTAGAGTTCGCGACGGTAGCGTACTGTCTATCCTTCGCACCCCATACAAGAATAACAAGCTTGCTCGAAAGGAAGCTAGTTTAACTTCATCTCTTCGCTGCTTTGTCTGTTGAATCTTTTTTTAGTTCCGTACGCCCAGGTACACTCCAGATTGTCTCTGCGCAACAAGTGAACTTGAGCTGCAACCTCAATTAGCAACTCATTCCTTCCATATTTCTGCTTTTTTTTTTCCTCTGTTTACAACGAGTTTTCTGTAGTTTTGACTTCAACTGATGAGTCTTAGGGGCCGGAGGTTTTGCAGTTTTTGGAACCCTAGAAAATTTCTTGAGCTGGATTTACTGTGAATTGCATGTTCTAGTATTTTACTTCATTGCTGAAATGTAAAGACAAGTGCTATGTCAGCGTATTGTAGTGTGAAATGTTGTGATTTTTGAGATAGACTGATCATTTGGGGAATGGCCTTCTTTCTTGTTTGAGAATGTAAGATTACTTGGCCTAGAAAGCTTTTACCTAGCAGTTGGGAAGTGGGTGATTGTTCGTTTGTGGGTATACAATTGCATTCATAATACTGGTTAACTTATTGTGATGATTTTGCATCTTTTAGTTCGGTGGATTTCTTTGTCGTTATCTTAGAGGCTGTTCTTCAACAGCAAGGAAGTTTCTAAATCCAATAAAACAACGCTTCCCTAGCGTTGTGGTTCCTGATATTCTGAATTGTTTCTTTTGCGTTTGTAAAAAACGGTGCTGATGGATTTTGTAATTGCTTCTATAGGTCGGGTTATGACACTTTCAAGATGCACATAAAACAGGTAACTTTACTGTAAAATGCGTTCTTGAATCTTGATTTCATTTGATTTTTTCAGATTTGATCCCAATAGGTGGATATGGATTGGATGCAGAAAAGAAATGTGATTCCCTTCTTGTATTACACAGACTGACTCTCTTCTAGGCGTCCTTATATTTTTGACATGCAATTTTCTCGATCAATTCTTGTGCCCCTATTGCACCTACCCGTAGCTACTGTAAAAATGATGGGACAAGAATTTATAGACTACCTTTTCAAAGATTGGTCTTCCCTGGGGTTTGTAAATCTTTTAGTGGTGGGGTTTAATTATAATGTAAACCTGAATAATAGAATGTTGAAGTCTCCGATTTTGCTGAGGATAGATATCACAAACTCACAATTTACTCTCCTTGATACTCAGGCAAGTGTATCATGGCTGAGACTGTAGTTTGATGTCATTTTGGTGGCATGTCTGTTTTTCTGGTGTCTTGTTTGTTTTATGTTAGGGGCATTTGCCCTTTCTATTATTAGTCAGAGTTAGTTGGAGAGGGTGGTCTGGCTCACAAGCAATGGCCCTAATGGGGAGTGCTGCTATAAGCACATGGCCAAACCTAGTAGGATTTTGAAGAATTTTCGTATGAATTGAATCTTTTCATTTTGGTTGATTTTTTGGTCTTTTCATGCTACTTTATATGGCTCCTATTCTGATCTGATTTGTTTCTAAATTTGTTTTGGATGTTTTCTTGGTGTTGTGGTGCAGGTTATAATTGAAGGCTTTAAGAGTTACAGAGAGCAAATTGCCACAGAACCATTCAGCCCTAAAGTTAATTGTGTTGGTATTGGTCCTATCTGAAACCTTCGAATTGCTTTTTCTCTGTTGCAAGATAATAATTCATGGTGCATGATGTGGACACGGTATGCAGAAATGTCATGATCAGCTCAAACTCAATTAAGTAGAAAATTAAGGCAATTTGGAATGAACCTTTTAGTTAGCTTTTTTATATTTATATGTATGCATATATGCTTGTATATACTTGGTGAAGTTTTATATGAATATATCTGCATAAACTGACATGTTTGTTCAGTATGAAAAAATATTGAGAGGTGTGATAATGATTATCAAATGTTTGATGCTGCTTTAAGAAACCTTAGTATATCCAGTATTGCAACTTCATCAGCCTCTGAAGTTAGTGGTCAAAACATGCTCCAAGCATTAGGGAGTCAGAATGGTTTAATTAGCTGTGGAAAGCATTACATGATTATGATTATGCTACATTTGATATTAGCGCTGTCTATGTTCATTCATTAAGCAAGTGGCTGTAAAAACTGTTTTGGTTGCTGCGAGTCTCTGTTCACTCCATTTTCCTTATTTTCATCACTTGTACTTTAGCTCATCTTTCTTCATCAAATCTCATTAACTGTAAGAATTATTCGCGAATATCATTTTCCATTTTGCACCTTTTACCTTTCTAGAGACTTGTATTGATGATATAAACCGGTGAAGTTAATAATATTTAATTGAGTTCTTTACAGTTGGTGCTAATGGATCTGGGAAGACAAACTTTTTCCATGGTAAGTTGAATTCTCCCCTGCTTGCTTCTCATTTCATCCATTCTTTTGGGGACATTCTGTTTTTGGGTTAAAGTAACTGAAATTAGATCTCTCGCCTCTGATTGAAAACCTTTGCCTTTTCTTTCTCTTGTTTCTAGCAATTCGCTTTGTGTTGAGCGATCTGTTTCAGAACCTACGCAGTGAAGATAGGCATGCACTACTCCATGTATGATCCATTTCATATCACTTTTTCAGGTTGTGTTTTTTAGCATTACTAATCTTTTCTAGGATTTTAATTATGCTTAAGCGAACCATTTTCTATACAGGAGGGAGCTGGACACCAAGTATTATCTGCATTTGTGGAGATTGTATTTGATAATTCAGACAATCGCATACCGGTAACCTTTTAAGGCTAATGATTTATCTTTTAGGCGGCATGAGTTGGACCATTTTGTATTTCATTTCAACTTAATTTGTTTAAATTACTTCGTGGTTTCATTTTGTTAATGTTGTTATAAGGGTGAATGACACCAACATTTGCAACTCATCTTTTAGCAAAATTTTTTGGACTTAACTGTCATTAAATTATTTTTTGGGACCTAAGTGCCATTACCCCTTATTATAAACCATAGTAATTTATTTGTGTTATACTTGTTTGCTTACTATCTTAGCTTATATCTGAACCTCCGGACAGGTTGACAAAGAGGAAGTGCGCCTACGCCGGACTATTGCTTTGAAAAAGGATGAGTATTTTCTAGATGGAAAACACATAACGTGAGTTTAGATTATTAAATTAGGGCATTTTATTTATTCTTATATTTCATTGTCAGATAACAATAGATTATAGTTTATGCTATCTGATTCTGACTTAAGCCCTGAGCCCTAAAGAAACATGGTAAATAATCTGTAGGAAAACTGAAGTGATGAATTTACTTGAAAGTGCTGGATTCTCTCGCTCAAACCCTTACTATGTTGTTCAGCAAGGGAAGGTATTGGTGCATTTTGGTTAAACTTGGGGTGGATTTGAATATATTTGTATTGATATATCTTGAAGGCTTGAGTTGTAAATTTATTCTCCCATACCTTGGCACAGATAGCATCACTGACTTTGATGAAAGACTCTGAACGACTAGATTTACTGAAGGAAATTGGTGGTACTCGAGTTTATGAGGAGAGGCGTCGTGAAAGTTTGAAGATAATGCAGGAAACTGGCAAGTCTTTCATCGTGGGATTGATATTTAATATTTATTAATCATTCTTCTGATGATCACCTATGTTTTCCTGTTAAGCAGGAAATAAAAGAAGGCAGATCATTCAAGTTGTCCAGTATTTAGATGAAAGGCTGAAGGAGCTAGATGAGGAGAAAGAGGAACTTAGAAAATATCAGCAGCTTGACAGGCAGAGAAAATCCTTAGAATATGCTATTTATAACAAAGAAATTCAAGATGCTCAGCAAAAACTGGCAGAGGTTATCTATGTTAAATGCTATAACATTTATTGATATTACATACTTTCTTCCTTTAGTGCTCTTTATCTGTCTTTACCCCTCTTGTTTTATAATTAAATTGTCAATTGTAAATATTTTTGGGTTAAGGTATATCCTTTTTGTTCTTAAATTTTGATGCTTGTTCTGAATCCATGTGATGTCTATTGGGTTATGAAAACAAAATGTTCAAACCACTCTTATGGAGGCATAGTATTTTTTGTGCCATCTTTTGGGTTTAACTTGATGAAATGCAACTATCATAGTTTTCTTAAAAATGTTTTTATTCCGAGGACTTGGAAATTTAATGGTGTCATTAAAGTACTTGAATGCTGTAGGGAATGAATAACATTGTTAAGATAGAACCTAGATTCTCTTTGGCATATAAGATGAACTTGACATTACAGAGGCATCAAAGTCATGATCTTTTATCCAGGTTTTGTAATTTATGTGTTCCAGGTCCTACGGACTGCTGGATTTCCTTTTTCTCTAAAGAATAGTTAATCTATTCAGGTAGAGGAAATGCAAAGATGAAGTAATCTGTGAGCTTATAGTGAAAGAATAAAATCAGTGGTTTTGATATGTTTAACAGACCTAGTCTATTTGTCAGTGAATACCATGTCTCTTCCTGCATTTTTAGCAGGGAACAGAAAAGAGATAACAAGGTGGCAAAAATACAAGTGATTCGATGAGATAATTATTTCATCTGTTAAAATTCGGACCTTTTTTATGGACAATTTTGGACATTTTGATTCTCCATCATGTAGATGTTAAAATTTTTCATTTTCTTTAAAGCAGAGACCATCCTAACCTTGTTTGTTTCGGGAAACATGCACATCAAATCATGTTTTGTTACATTGTGTGCCTTATGTACGTATTTGTGTTCTAATGTTGTGTTGTTGAGCTCTGATTAGTATAACTTTTTAATGGAACGGGATATGCATTAGTCTGCTTATCCTTTTCTTTTTAGTGTAATTCAAATGAAATGCCATATGGTGGTTTGCATGCAACTACATGACAGTGCATCCTTTGGCAGCATTAGTACAGTCACTAGAATTCAAACTGCTTGATCAATTACTTCCCCATCAGTATCCTTTCAATGCTAATTTCAACCTAGATCGGCATCAATTACCCAAAGTTTGTGGAACCTCTATTTGTGTTCAAATTCAGAAAAATCAATATGGGGTCTTAACCTGACAAGTTAAGCTTTGGTATTGGATGACCCTACGTGCAGTATTTGAGCCCCTAGGGCCAAATAACATGGAGGTCATCCATCCCTACTTTCTTTATTAAATTAAATAAAATATTATTTTTAGTTATGATGGACTTTGTGCTCTGGTCATGCTTCAAGCCCAAAGGACATTTATGCATAGGGGTGTATTTAAAGATTTGAATAAAACTAATTCTTGGCCTTTACTCAACAGCTTACGATTTTCACTTGAAATGGTCATTGACAACTAGCAAAACATTACCTGTGGTGTTCATATACTGATTGTACATGTGTTATTTAGGAGAATAACTTGACCTCTGGAAGTTTTATTTGGTCGAGAGCAGTTGGCTAATTTGATCGAGTGTTCTTTCAGCGTTTTCAGTACTGTGGTGTGATTCAAAATAAAATAATATTGGTTGCAATTATTTGCACTCTATTGGTGAATTACCTTTTTTGTTGCTCATCATTGATGTTCTCAAACATGACCCTAATAATTTACAGTTGTATACTTTTTTCTTTCCCTTTTCGTTTGTGCTCTTTTAGAATTGTGAGCTCTGACACTCAGACTTTTTTAGATAGAAGAAGCTCGAGTAAAGGTTTCTGAGTTATCAACAAAGAAGTATAATGATGTCCTTGATGCAAATGAGAAGACCAGAGATTTAGAAAATACTTTGAAAGACATAACAAAAGAACTTCAAAGTTTAAATAAAGAGAAAGAAATTATGGAGAAGAGACGAACAGAGGCGTTAAAGAAGCACACTGAGCTTGAGCTTGATGCCAAAGACCTACAAGAGAAGATCTCCGGAAATATCCGAGCCAAAGTATTATTTTGATATATCCTATTATGAAGTTTTTGAATATAATGGTTCTCTATCTGATCCATTTTTTTTTGCCTTCATGCATTCAGGAAGATGCGGTAAGACAACTAAAAATACTTGAGGAAGAAATTCAGGACTCAATGAGTGAACTTGACAAAATCAGTCCTTTATATGAGAATCAAGTTATACAAGAGAAAGACATTACCAAGCAGTATGCTGTACTTCAATTTAGTTGATTTTTTGCGACACTACCTTTGTGATGTACATTTATTTATTTTTCTTCTATGTCATTATTGTATCCCTTTTGTTATCTAAAATTGGTATCTTTATGATATGTTACGTCAAATTTATTTAAGGACTTCTGGCCCATGATGATGGGAGCATCAGTCATTTAAAGTTTACTTTCTATCCTGTATGATATTTGCTGTTCATCACAACTGGTTCATTTTGCTTGTTCTTTCTTTTTTTTTTTGGGTTGATAGAAAGATATATGTTTGGTATATTGATCAAGTCGTATCAATATTTACACATATGCACATGCATCTGACACATCTTAACTAGGTAGTGTTGCGAGATCCATGTAGCTGACCCCATTATACTGCTTGTATGTACATGATCCTGCATCTGCTGCAATGGAATTTTTAACCTATTGATAGAAGTATCAGTGGACTCTAATGTTTATGATGTAGAAAGGGGGCATGAAGAAAGAAGAGAGGAGAGAAATAGGAGATGGAGAGAATGAGAGGAACTAGGGAAAGAGATCAGAACTGAATTACTCTGCATATGCAATAACAGCAACAACATAACATCCACTCTGATTGCCTAGCCCCTTATGTATACCTCTAGGCTAATGGTTATGCACGCCACTTATCATAACTAGCATAACTAACAACTAACTTAACTAATTCTTATATTTATCATTATTATTTATATGACAGTTTATTTCTCATGAAAATGCTTTTCTCCCCCACAGAATAATGGAGCGTGAGAAGAAGCTGAGTATCCTTTACCAGAAGCAAGGACGTGCGACTCAGTTTTCCAGTAAAGCTGCTCGCGATAAATGGCTTCAAAAGGAGATTGATGATCTTGAACGAGTGCTTTCTTTGAACCTGGGGCAGGTATGGGTTCCTTTATTTGTTTGAGTATTTAATATTTCTAATAGTGTAAGGGACACTTGAATAGACTATTTTGATATGTAAAATTATCATCTTTTTCTTGTGTTTCTTCTCCTGTCAATTTCTTCTTGGTGTTCTGTTACTTGAAATCGTGTTAAAATTTTATGTTGTAGAGTCTTTTATATGTTTTGGTGAAAGAAAGACTGTAAAAGAATGAAGGAATAATCTAGCAGATAAGATATTCACTTGCAAGAAATTAAAATATTTCAAATCTAAAACATTCGGTTAAAGAGCTCATATAAGCAAAAGCTTGCTGTTGTCTTCGCGCATCATTTAAGCATATTTCTAAGGAAGACTCATCTAACTGCCTTGTCATTAGAAGAGTAAAGAGGGGAAGGGATTGTACCTTAGTTTTTAGATTTGCATATTCTGGTGTATATAAATTAATTATTTTGCTGTCTCCTCTTAAACCCAGATGTATTAAATGATCCTTAATGTTGTTTTCTATATTTGTTTTAGTATTTTCTTAGGTTAACTAGTATTTCTGGCTCTGCTTAACAAACATTTATTTATTATGTGTTTCTACACGTATAATAAATCATTTATGTCAAGTTGGTTTACCTCTTTAATATGTCTCTTGTTTGACTGACATCCCCCCCCCCCCCCGGCCTGGTGTTTTGGGAAAACAGGAGCAAAAGCTCAGGGAAGAAATTGATCGGCTAAATGGTGAACTACATAATTGTGATGAGTATATTAGGAATCAAAAATCAAACATTACTGAGGTGGAGTCCCACATTGCTAAATCGCGTGAAGATTTTAATCATCGAAGAGTACAAAGAGACAAGTTGCATGATGAGCGGAAGTATGTTCTGTTTTACAATTTATTCAGTTCAGATTCCAGAGTCTAGTTCTGATGATTTGAAGTACTGTAGGTCTTTATGGGCCAGAGAGAATGGACTTACTTCTGAAATTGATAAGCTGAAAGCAGAAGTTGAGAAGGCTGAAAAGAGCCTTGATCATGCGATTCCTGGAGTCAGTAATCTATTTTTTAAACTTATTTGAGCATCTTATTTCTGGATTTTACTGTTTAGCTTTGCAAGAAAGCGGGTAACAACACTTCTTTGCTTGTTTATTTTAAAATGTTGAGTAAGTAACTAGACTATTTATCTCAACTGAGGAATTCACTGGAGAAACCTGAATCCAAAGCGCAAAGCCTTTGACATGTTATGTTCTAGTTAATTTCTGACAAGACAACATCTTTCATGTTATAAATACCCTGCTTTAATTAACAAAAAGTTCCCGAATGTATGTAAATCTATGCCATTCACTCTGCATTCTTAGAATAAATCACCACTTGAATACATTTACATTGACTTGAACGTGTTATTACAACTTTATCTTAGACATATGTGTACAGAAAAACTGTTTAGTTCTTGATTTTGGTGATCTTACTGATATCAGGAACAGTGTAAAACTCAAATGATGGAAGATAAAATTTCAATGACATGAAGTGAGGCAGAGTCCTGATAATTATGCTTGATATTTCCATCTTTGTCTCCATGTTTGCCCTTTCCATTTAATACTGGGCACCTTAGAGTGCTCAGTTTCTGGGGATAGTTGTTGACAACCTGTCTTTTTTTCCAGTTCACAGTTGATCTGTCATGCTACGTAAATAGATGTATTCATGGCAAATAGTTATTTTTTGTTTTCAAATTGAAACTTTCTTGTAATCATCAGGATGTGAGAAGAGGGTTGAATTCAGTTCGGAAAATCTGCAGAGAGTATAGAATTTCAGGAGTTCATGGTCCAATCATTGAGTTGTTGAACTGTGATGAAAAATTTTTCACAGCAGTTGAAGTCACTGCAGGAAACAGGTGTGTGACATTTGTCCTAATTTTTATACCTGGTATGTGAATTTATATATGCTTCACCAAGCAGAAATATCGGGGAGCAGGATAGTAAGTTTGCTTTTACTTGGTTATTTGTTGATCTTGTAATTGTTATTGCTGTTGTCTCTTTGCTGGTTTCATATCATTGCATTCCTTGATCTTTGGCTTCTTTGTACGTCTATTTTGATGTTTCCACTTATCATCCTTGTTTGAACAGCTTGTTTCATGTGGTTGTGGAAAATGATGACAAGTCAACCCAGATAATTAGACATCTTAATTCTCAGAAGGGCGGGCGTGTTACTTTTATCCCACTTAATCGAGTGAAGGCTCCGACTGTCACTTATCCTCAGAGTTCTGATGTCATACCGCTTCTGAAGAAATTAAATTTTAAACTTGATTATACTCCAGCATTCAGTCAGGTTAGCTTTATTGCAAATGCTGTGTCTTATTTAAATGTGAATACTGCTATACCGGTTCTATCTGGTTTATGCCTAGGAGTTGGTCTGTTCTATTTTAAATATAACTTGAGGAAGCCTTGTGTCAAACTTTCAATTTATGTAGTCAAACTGTTTCAGTGTGTTTCTTGTTTCAATACACTTCAGTTCTATATCTGTGCAGCAGGCAGAGATTTCCCGTGGCTTTAGAGGTTTTTGTATCTTGATTTTTTTTTTTTTTGGCTTTTGTGATGCTAAACATGTTCAATTCTTCAAATAATGAGCTTCCGTACCTGGAAGTGGACATTTGCATGTGCTCCTGTTGTTTATTTAATTAGGTAGATGCCTCCATTTAACTATGTTTGATTGCTAGATCTCCCTTGACATTGCTTCTGACATTTCTCCTAGGTATTTGCTAGAACAGTTATCTGCAAAAATATTGATGTTGCGTCAAGGGTTGCTCGTACTGATGGTCTGGACTGCATAACATTGGAAGGTTGGGTTTGAACACTTAAAAAAGGTTGTCTTCATTATTTTACCTTGTTTTTACCTTAACAAGTTGCTGGTCATCCCTACTTCAGGTGATCAAGTGAGCAAGAAAGGTAGCATGACTGGGGGATTTTATGATCATAGGCGATCAAAATTGAAGTTTATGAATATTATTAAGCAGAATGCAGACTCTATTCGCATGAAGGAGGAGGAATTAGAGAAAGTTAGACTTGAGCTTCATGATATCCTTTCATGTTTATAATCTATCAATTAGTTGTTGCAAATGACATTTCTTGTGTCAATGGTGTTGATATCAAGAGGGATTTCCACCATCGTTGTTTCCGCTGAACTAATCTTACAGATAGACCAGAAAATCACTACACTTGTTGATGCGCAGCAGAAATTTGATGTTGAGCGGGGTCATGGTAAATCAAAACTGGATCAGCTTAAGCAGGACATTGCGAACGCCAACAAGCAGAAACAACTAATTTCTAAAGCACTTGAAAATAAGGTGTTATTGCAGTTATAGACTATCTATGCCTTTATTTTGAGAACTTCTCTTATATCGGTCATTTCTTTTTGATTTTTTTTTCCGAGTGTTTTTTAGCTTTGCCTTCATTGCTTGTAGGAGAAGTCACTTGCAGATGTTCAGAATCAAATTGATCAGCTTCGAGCTAGTATGGGAATGAAAAGGGCTGAGATGGGCACAGAGCTCATTGATCACTTAACACCCGAGGAAAAGAAACTCTTGTCAGATTTGAATCCTGAAATCAAAGAACTTAAAGAGAAGCTTGTTGCTTGCAAGACTGATCGTGTTGAGGTTGATGTTTGAATTCTCTGGTGCTTGAAATCTTTTAATGGTCCCTTGTCCTATATTAACTTCAACTTTGCAGACTGAAGCAAGAAAGGCAGAACTGGAAACTAATCTGACAACTAACCTTAGGAGAAGGAAACAAGAGTTGGAAGCTGTAATATCATCCGTGGAAGCTGACTCTCTGGTTGTTGATGCTGAATTGAAGGGACAGGAACTTAATGATGCTAAACTACTGGTTGAAGATGCAACAGAGCAGCTAAGAAGTGAGGCCCTCAATCACTGTTGTCTCTTATATATATGTATATATATTTGAAAACCAATTTGTATTTCCTTCTGACCAAATTATCTTTCTCAGGGGTTTCTGATAGTATAAATGATCGAATGAGGCAAAGTAAAAAGATTAAAGATGAAATGAATAAATTGAAGGTAGTAACTCTTTTATAAATTGTTTGGTGGTGGCGATTTTGGCTGCTCCTCTAATGATTACATATGACTGTAGGCTTTGGAGGATGATTATGAAAGGAAACTTCAGGAAGAAGCTAAAGAATTAGAGCAATTGCTGAGTAAAAAAAATATTTATTCTGCTAAAGAAGATGAATGTACCAAGAAAATCAGGGAACTGGGTCCATTGTCATCAGATGCTTTTGAGACGTAAGCCTTCTCATATTGTTTCTTTTTTTATTCCCCTTTTTTTTTGTATTTTTAGTTACAAGGAGAACATTTTGAGTGTTAGACAACTAAAAACTATTGTCTAGAGAAACCAAAAGAGAAACTATTACATAACATGGTAGAGTGCTCCAATTAAATATTTGCTAAGGGGACTGTCCTTAGTTAGCTTCATTTCATCACGAGAGGCAAAGCTGAAGTTCTTTCCTTAAACAGTTTGTCATAAGCTATTTAAAGTTTTGCACTGTCTTTGTTAAGCCTTGCAAGCTAAAGCGACAGCATTTTGCATATATTTATGATTCTTCCATCTGATTCCAAGGGTCCCGATTTGGCATGCTAAAATTTTGAAGTTGTGCTGAAATGCCTTATATCTATGAAAAATACACCAAACAGCTTATTGCAGAGTCTGAAACGCATGGTTATTGCCCTTTTTATTTGCCTGGACAGTGTTAACATAATTTACCCCCTACCTTCGTGCCACTTAGTCCATTGTCTTGTTGGTTCAATTAATTTCCTTTTCAGTGTTTTTTTTTTTTTGGGTTTAAAACCTTTTGACTTTGCTACTGCACCGTCATTTTGTTGGTAATTACCAAGAGATGGGAAACTGTTATAGTTTAAAGCTTGTTGTATTTCACAATATTTCATGACCTATATATTTTGAATTTCTCTAAAGAGAATTTTGTTTTTTTCCCCCTCTTGCAATGGAATCTATAGGTACAAGCGGCGAAACATCAAAGAATTGCACAAAATGCTGCACAGGTGCAATGATCAGTTGCAGCAGTTCAGTCACGTGAACAAAAAAGCACTTGATCAATACATTAACTTCACAGAACAGCGAGAAGAACTTCAGAAAAGACAAGCTGAACTTGATGCAGGAGATGAGGTATTTATTTGCTGTCCTGTTTGTCGGGAAATTCCTTGATCATTGAGTGTGTATATTGCCTGTCATGCATTGTTGGATGCAGAATTTATTACATTCAAGATTTGAGACAACTGTTTATTCTTGGCATTTGATGTAGCTTCTTTTCTGCATCGCGTAATTATGTCTTCTTAACAACATCTATATAATTTCTATCTATTTATTTAACATTATTTGTTTTCTAGAGTGCCATATGCTGACATTTATTAACAGTTCTAATGCGTCCTCTGATATTGAGCTTGATCTAACCTTCTTTCTCCTTATCATGTGGTAATGGGTTATCCAGCAACAGTAACTCAGTTGATTTCTATCATTGAATACTTGCAGAAAATTAGAGAATTAATATCAGTTCTAGATCAACGGAAGGATGAATCCATAGAACGAACTTTCAAAGGTGTGGCAAGGCACTTCCGAGAAGTCTTTTCTGAACTTGTACAAGGCGGCCATGGTCATCTTGTTATGATGAAGAAGAAGGTTTGTAATGATTGATCAATATCTTTTGCTTAATAGCTTCTACATTGTATTCTTGGGATTTTGATGGGGGAAATGGTGCCTAATAACTTAGCAACTAGGTTTGTGCTTTGTACTAATTTTAATATTTTTTTTAGATGTCACACTGTTTTCCTATACAGGTTTTCATCGATGATACGCTTGATTATGTTTTTGTTGCTTCATTTTTTGGGAATTTTTTGTATAATATTTTTGGTTGGTGTTGGTGCATTCTGATTTCTTTTTGACAGGATGGTGATCCTGTTGCTGATGATGAAGATGAGGATGGTCCTCGCGAAGCTGATCCAGAGGGGAGAGTAGAAAAATATATTGGAGTGAAAGTAAAGGTAAGTGCACACTTGGCTTCTTGCTGAATCTTTCATGCTTTCCTGTGTCTGAATGCTTCTGATTTTGTTGTGGTGACTAAGTGAACGATATGCTGTTGAGACGTATCATTATTTATAGCTATAGACTTAACCCTGTCGGAATTTAGATTGGAGTTTGATGAACCCAACAATGTCTTGGCCAAGCTAACAATAAGACAAGGTCCAACGGGGCTCTTGATGCTATTAATAAGAAATTAGGCCAGGCTATTTCGTCTATCTTTCCTGAGCTGTAACTCGTTTCTAAAGCATAAATAATCAGGTTTCCATCAGAGTCACATCCATTTCTTTGCAAACCGAGCCAAGGGATATATGTAACCAATTGACAAAGCAAACATCATTACCCAACTATACAGATATGTCCTGATTCATTATATGATTGTGAAGCATGCATGTTTGTATCCCCCTGCCCCTTTTCATGTGGGGTAATGATGTCTGTTGTCAGTTGGTGTTTGTCAGGCATCAATCCAAAAATTTCTTCTGATAACCATGGACAATCTTTTGCATTACAGGTGTCTTTCACCGGACAAGGAGAGACTCAGTCCATGAAGCAGTTGTCGGGGGGTCAAAAAACTGTCGTTGCCCTCACGCTTATCTTTGCCATCCAGCGATGTGATCCAGCTCCTTTTTATCTTTTTGATGAGATAGATGCAGCATTGGATCCACAGTACCGAACTGCAGTTGGGAGTATCCTTTTCTTAAAACTGTTTACTAGCTTCACTTCAAATATAAAATAAGTGCTTTGCATTGTCTTTTTTGCAAATTCTGTAAGTTATATTCAAGCATCTATATCTAGACATATATATATATATATATATATATATATATATATAATGCATATGATGCCATACTGCATTGTGCTTTTGGATTTTGTGGTTCTTTAACGTGGTCAGAAAGCATCCATAGGCTCCTCGTTGTGTCCAGAGTTCACAATTTATTCCCTTTTGTTTGTTATATTTGGTTAAAGATATTAGTTGTTTTGTGCTTTGTTCGCACTCCATGCCAACAATTTTGTTGTGATTTTCTTTGGCTCTCCTTTCTTTATCTGTTTCAGGTTTGGGTTGAGTTGTTATTTGGGATCCATAGTTTAATAAAAACTTTGAGGTTGGGATTTTATTTAATTAACAATTTATTTTGGAAAATACTTAGGTACCTACTCTTTATGCTTTAGATATTGTTTTCCAATCGAACTAGTGGTGGGCCCTATGTGTGTTGCGGAGAGTTTTGACAAGTGAGCCTAACTATACACGATTCATGGTTCATGGGTTACCACTGTTGACTTATTTTTAATTTTAAATTTAAAATTCACTTGTTTTAATATAGTTGGAGAGAAGTACCTTATCTATTAAGTTTTCTCCATTTCTTCAACCTACAGTATAGTGGCCCTTCTCTGGAATCACCTTAAAGGGTGTTATTGCTTGCTAATAATTTTTTTGGTTAGGGTGTGACGGTAATTTCCAAACAAGCTCTTGTTGATTCATGGAAGTCATGGAGGCTGGGGTTTATGTGTACTAGTAAACTTATAAATTAAATGGAAGGGTGATTGGAGATAAATCCATTGTGTTATGGGCTGACACTGATATTTGAAGAATTTATATCACTGCATTAGAGACAAATAGGGCCTTCTGCTATATTTTCACCAGCATTTGGGTTCTTGCATCCTACTGTGCCGTTTGGATTTCTTAACTTGTGCAGATATGATTCGACGTCTGGCTGACCTTGCTAACACTCAATTTATTACGACCACATTCCGACCAGAGCTTGTGAAAGTTGCTGACCAGATATATGGAGTGACACATAAAAACAGGGTCAGCCGTGTTAATCTGGTGTCCAAGGAAGATGCGCTTGAGTTTATTGAGCATGACCAGACTCACAATGCTGAATGAGGTTAGAGAACCATCAAAAGTTTTCATGTCTCTTTACTGATGTTAGACAGCTGCTTTGGGTGGTGAATGGTATTCAACTAAATGGATCAAACTTGCACGGTACACCGATAATGCTAATATATATATTTATTTATATATATAACTCCGGTCCCGCACCTTTTAGAAGAAACAAATGGTTCTTATTATAAATCACCAAATGGGGCATTAATTATATTTTTCCAAGGTTGTCCCTATTCAAAGATGGATGCAATTTTCTTTTTTCGCTCAAGATGTCATTTATAGTTTTGAATATGGGTAAGTGTAGATGTTTTCATTATCAAACAAATTTAATAACTTAACTACTTTTTGGTTTTAATAAGGTGGTTGGAGATGCCTTATGATAAGGATCCGATGGAATATATGAATACAATTTGTGTGTGTTGTATATATTTTGATGTTCTTTTTGTTGTTAGGTGCTTATGATTCCCTTGAAGGTCCCATGATTTGAAGTAGATAGCAGATTCCAGTTCAAATCCATGAGACGGCACTTCCATTTGTATGATATGTATTGACTGATCTGGCTTCTGCATAGGTCTTAGAATAACCCAGTAGTTACTGATCTCTCCTTATCTATATATTTTTGTATATGCTTCTCAATTTGTTTACATGTCAATATATTATACATCTTGTAGCTGTCTTGGGGGAAAAACGTTGAACACTGTTTGATATTGACGAAGGAAATCATTTTATGTACAACAATACTTCTCCTTACCCTACTTAAATTCTCAATGGTGCCGGATATAATTTATTTGATTATTATGGTTTATTTGTGTTCATTCTCTTAACCTTCTGCCTGTGTACTTTTAATAACCCAGAAGTTGCTTCTCTCGGTATCTAATAAAAATAAAATAAAAACATAATAAGTGAGCTTCTATTGAGAATTACAAGGGAAATTCTAATTGTTATGGAGATAGGGAAGAAAACGTAGATATATTAAATTAAATGTTAAAATTATATTAAGTTGCTTCTTGGGGAAGCTAATTACATATTGATTTAGACGAGGTAATTTCATATTTGGGAGGCCACCAGCATATTATGGAAGCTAATTGCATCTTGAAAAGGTAATTGCATATTAGTTCATATTGCAGACTACCTCTAGTTTTAATTATAAGACCTTGTTTGCAGTATACAAACGAGGTCTTATAATTAAGATCAGAGGTGGTATTAATTAGGGAAGGTAATTGCAGATTTGGGAAGGCTGCTTGCACAGTATGAAAGCTAATTGTGTCTTGGAGAAGCTAGTTGCATATGGTTTTGAGGAGACATGCGCATTATGAAAGCTAATAGCACCTTGGGGAAAGTAATTGCATATTGGTTCATATTATATACTAGTAATTGCACAATTATGGAGACCACTTCTACGTTATGAAAGCTAATTGTATCTCAAGAAAATTAACTGCATATTGGTTCAGGAAGGTAATTACATGTTTGAAGAGGCTGCTTGCACATTTAAGTGTGCGCACATGCAGGTGTGTGAATTTTACAGAGGCATTTGAGTGTATTACTTGTAAACTCTGTGAATTTATCTGTTTAATATATTTTTTTCAGCCTTCGGTGCTTTAATTGATTGAGATTGAATTGGGTATGAATCGGGTAAGATACGCCGAGAGTTGGAGGCCAGGCAATGGATGTATCAGTAATGATAAATCATCACTAATAGATTTCGATTGATGACGACAATAGTATGCTCTTACCCAAAAATTAATGTCACATTCATTTTAAAAAAATAAACTAGTAAAATTTATATCAATACTTTATATTTTTAGGAAAAGTTTATGTTCTGTTACAAGAGTTAATTATCATCCTACAGGGTATGATAGTGTTAAAGAGTATATCACCATAAACAAAATAGCATTATACTGCTCCGATCTTTAATATAAGATCCATTTAACTAATTTGATTAGATTAAAAAAGTTAGGTAAGTTAGTTAATTATAAGAAATACTTCTCCGATTCTAAATATAAGACTTTTTTTGTAGTGTAAATTACACTACAAAAGGGATCCTATATTTAAGATTGAAAGAGTATGATATGTTCTTCTTAACAAACCATAATCATTTTTTTTAATATCCTCCTTCCCTCACTTATTTGATTATGGTTGAGAGAGTATCCATAAAAATAATTTAGAAAAAAAATTGATAAATATGAAAAATAATTCTTATATTTAGAACTAAAATTAACTTAACAATTAGATCCTATATTAAAGATTAAAAGAGTATTTAACTTACCATATATAAGCTAGCACCCTTACCCTATCAACTTACGGGTGATATCTCCTAACGGATGGAAACATAAGATTCAACTTGGTAATCAAAATACGATATAGAGACGAATTTATATCTTTTTGAATTATACGGGCTCGATTAAAAATTGATGTAAATTGTGAGAAGCAATAATTAATTTGTCATTAAAGATATGAAATTTCCAAAAAAAAAAAAAATTAAAGACCACTGTTTTTTTCTAAACAATTCCTAAAATTCCCTAACTCTCTTGTGCAAGAAAGTTTTTGCAAAATCTAATTTCTAAACCTACCGAAAGAAAAAGCCTACCAAACATCTACCAAAACAAAAGGAAACTAACCGCCAATAATCTACAAAAAAGAAAAAATATGTCCTGCAAAAAATGGGTATGCGTGCTAAACCTATTCTACCTTTGGACTGGTTGAGTTTCAAGACCAAACCCAAATGGAAATAGAGGATCATAATGAGGATCGCCAACGTTCATGGGCAATTGATCAGGACTTTTGAACCAAGTCTGTGGCAGTTTCCCAGTAAAACCATAATCACCAAACAGAACATCAGCAACTCCTTGGCCTTCAGTTCCTGGAAGCCAAGCAGCAACAATGGCATTTGCGAACCTTACAAAAGGTTCCATCACCACTGGCCTCCCTGAAATTACTACCACAACACACTTAGTGTTGATGCAGACGTCAGTGATTACACCTTCATTGCCTGCAATTGTCAAGTTTCTGCTGTCCCCTGCAATCTCTGCATATGGCATCTCCCCAACAACAAGAATGGCATAATCAAAATTGTTTTTCTTAACAAAGTCAGCATTTGCCCTCTCGTTAAAGACTATTTCAGTGCTAGAGGGAACTGTGTTCATAATCCCCTGGAGAATAGTGGTCCCTGTTTGCCAAACCAGGATTAAATCATGTTATATTATATAATGTCAATACTTCAAACCAAAAATTCATTGATGTTCAATATACGTTCGAAATTTGTCAGACAAGAAATGATGCTTCATTTATGTTTCAAGAACGCAAATTGATCTATCTAGTTTCCAGTTAAAGGGATATTGTCCTCCCAAATTATCCAGAGCCATTTAATACAAAATTCCAACTAGATCAACAATGCGTCAAGAACTGTTTTATGGGTTTTTTTTTTGGGGGGGGGTGTTGTTCAGCAGAAGCTAAAGTTTTGTCTTTCTCAGAGTTAACAAAATCCAGCCATGGTTCTATCTAATTATTATTTTTAATTGCGTCTATTTCATAATTAGAGAGATTATAATGCTCTGGATTATTAAACTGGAAGGAAAAAATAGCTCAAATAAACTGAATTAGAGGGGCTAAAAGTACAATTAAATCTTCCAGATTGAATCAGAGTAAGAACATACCCTTGGTAATGTTATTGCCGCCTTGTCCCTGCCAGGAAATGGTCCAGCCACCACATTGATAACCCAAATTATTAGCGTGACTACCTGTAACCAAAATCTTAGCTCCCTTTTTAGGAAGAGGTAAGACCGGAGTATCTGCATCTTCCCCATTCTTCAAGAGCACTAGTGACTTTCTCACAGCTTCTCTTGCCAGTTCTCTGTGATCCTGTTAATGTAATGTAAAATAAGAGTTTAAAGTAAGTATTACAAAGAAGAACACAAGTAAAGTAAAGATTTTAGGCGTTCTTATCAGATTCTCATGTACAATCATAATGTGTAGGTTTGATAGTTCAAAAAAATTTCTTCTGTTGTTATGTATTAATTGGTGAACCAGATAATGAACACCTAAAATAGTTCATTAATTAGGAAAAATGCAGAAACTAACATTTTTTCCTAGCTCTGAGACAAGACTATTATCAGCCATTGGTTTCTCAAAAAGTCCCATATGAAACTTTACTCCCAATATTCTGCCAACTGCATCATCAATGCGACTCATGGGAACGTATTTGTTCTTGACAAGATAAGTCAGAGTGTTGATGAATTCTGCGTAGTTATAGGGAACCATGACCTGAAAAATGAGATGAAGGTTAGACTTGGAAGCATATATCACTTGACCACGTTCTTACTTCTCAGGGACACTTACCATGTCGATTCCGGCATTAACCGCTTCTAGAACTGAGTAAGTGTAATTTGCGTGAGGAGGATCAGTGATCCTGTCAAGAGCTTCCCAATCAGATATGACAAATCCCTGCAAATTTACCCCAAAAAAATTCAAATGCAAGATAACAATATTCTTCATTCCTGCAAGGACTGCTTGCTTTGAAGTGCTAAAGTGAAGCCTCATGATTGGTCTTATTCATATTTATATCATGTTTTCTCATACAAGTCTTTAACGTTTGAAGTGACAACAGAGAACAAATACAATAATCCTATTTTGATCAGCTCAAAAGCTTAGTATTTGGATACTTGAGTGATATTATTGATATTGCAAACACCAGCGTATATCCTCCTACCTATTAAAGAGTCGGCAGTCAGGAAAATGACAATACCTTGAAATTAAGAGTGTTCTTGAGATAATTAGTAATAAGATCATGATTAGCATGCATCTTCAGTCCATTCCAGCTTGAGTAGGAGGCCATGATTGTGGACACACCCTTTTGAATGGCTTCGACATAAGCAGGCATGTGAATTCTCAGCATTGTGTCCCAATTTATCATTGTATTGCCCTCATCGATTCCATGATAGGTGCCACCATCACCTACGAAATGTTTTGCACAAGCTGCAACCTTCTTCCTGTTAAGCAAAAGAAAACAAAAAATCAATGATAAGAATATAGTAATTTGCAAATATAAAAATATATACACACATTTTTCTAAATCTTCCCATTCATACAAAAGTAGGGCACACAGACTACATCCAACATACCTAAAACACACAGAAAGGTAAAGTAAATGACTTCTTAGGGTGTTGATGACTAGCATTCAAGCACCAAAAAGAGAAGTGGTAAACAGAAACCCTAATTCCCTAATAAAAAACAAATCTACCCACGACAAAACAGAGATGTGGCTCTGTAGCACTAGACTCTGAAACACCATAAAGTTTCATAAAATTTTACTTAATTTACAGTATGTTTTAGCCCATATGCTTCATTCGAGAAACACATTAATCACATTCAGATATATTAAACAATGATCGATGAGTGATACTTAGTAAACAATGCTCCGGCACAATATTTTAAGTCCTCGAATCTATATCCCTATTCAGGTCAGGTGAAAGACTCACTTTTGTGTCAAAAATAATGTAACCCTATTAGATGATAATTGAACAACTTAGGTACGGGAAATAAGAAAAAGCATAGAAATCGGATCACATACGGTCCATCGACATGAGGAACGGCCTGGGGAAAACGAGGAGGTATCTCCCCCTGAAGCCCCAGAATGATATCTGTCATATTCTTCACGATTTCGGGATCTTCGCCGTAGCTTTCGTAGCACCTTCCCCATCGAGGATCTCTGCAAACCTTTTACGTGGAAAGGAAGAAACAAAAAGAAATTTTTGTGATCAAGCTTTCTGAAACTCACAATACATATGCAAGATCCTAAGAAATCAAAAT